CTCGTTAGTAGAGTAGGCTAGGTACGGTCCGGTATATTAGATAGTACCAGGGTACGTTCCGACAGTACCCTGGGGGACAGACCCTCTCAGCAGTACTACTAGAGAGTTGTCAATGTCTAGACTAGAGTAGAGAGAGTAAATACATTTCCAGAAGGCGAGAGAAGTAACTATAGAGAGAATAAAGATTAGTAAGAAAAGGAAGAGGGAGAGGAATCGTCACGTCCGTAATGTGATATGTCTGCGTATGTGCCTACAATAAACGTACGTGATGATATGTAAACGCCGTGGGCGATACCATCCGCGAAAGGGGAATAAGGAAGTCATGAGGAAGAAGAAAAAACGTAGAGGCGCGATAAAAACCCAATGACATGTTGTTTGAGTGACAGCTCGAGGTTTCTTTTTATTTCAGATTTTTTTTAAACATACATCCCATCAATGAAGCAGAATCCACAGAATATAAAAATATATACATCTCATAACTCACTTTCATAATGCATTTTTCCAAGGTAATAACAATTTTTCTACCAGCCGTATCAGCAACAGAAGCTATATTAAAACATAAATAGCTATAGCGACGAATACGGATTAAAAGCCAGTCAGAGAGGAAATAACAGCTATAAACCTCGAAGAAAACTGGGGGCAAGAAGACGAAATGAAACACAACTTAAATCCTTGAATAAGTTCTAAAACACAAACACAGAAAAACAAAATACAACTTATCGAACGCGAAAAGAATCATATGTGCATTTTTAATGAAGGACATTTGAAAGTCATAAGTACCAGACTCAGCCCACCCCACACAATCAACGGCTCGAGGGCCGGACTGTAAAAAGCTGATGGTCAGGTCTTATTACTCTCAATGTCTGCCATCTTACATTTATCATTCAGACCCTCATATCGGATCCTCGTTTTCACTCTCAACTTAAACTACTCACAGAACAAAACAACGCGGCACGTAGAAGAAAAAACAATGAACGACAACAATAACAACAACAACACTGCCCCTCCGTATTAAAAGTGAATTTTAAAAAGAATTTAGAGATCGCCGATTCGTCTGGTAACTAGCTCGCACCCATCGCACGTACACGTCCAGTAAACCTGGGGGGCCGCCGTCAGAAATATTCTACTCTTAACACTAACCTTTACCGTAACCTTTTCGACGTGTTATAACAGTATAACCCAATGTAAATAAATCTAACACTCAAATAAAAGCAAACATATTGGTTAATGTGAACTTAATCTCAGGTGGGTTTGTAACGTACTAATTACGGAGAAGAGAGAGTAATAAATGAATTTTCACGTAATCTGTAAAAGCAGCCGGCAACTGAAAAATCTTTTTCCACCAAGTGGGAAATCCACCAAAGTACGTGGTGCGATCTTGTGCTTTCTAAACAGGAAAGTGGGATTCCCTTGAGTTATTCTAATTGACAGGTGGGGGTAGGTGGTAATAGCTAGGGATCTGCACTGCTTCCATTTCTCCCTGAAATGACAAATACCGAAAGGGAAATTCCTCCGATTTGGGAACAACATGGGTAAAAATAGGCGGTAAGGGAATTTTTGCATTCGTAAATACATGTTGCAGTTCGCCACGGGATCGACCACGTGGTATCTCTAGTTGATAATAACACTGTGTGTCACATGGAGACACCTTAATTGTGCATCGATCGTAGGTTTTTAACAGTTTGTGTGTATCAATGTCAATGACGCAATTCTCATACTGAGCAAGCGCATATATATGAACTTTCATCAGCAATATTTACAATTAAGCTAGAATTCCCTCATTAGGGAACCGCTGCGGTGAAAATATGCGACAAGGGGAATATTTCCTTTGTAGATGTGCATCACCTGACCCACGTGGTGTCTCTAGTTGCGAACACCTTGGTCACACGCAGACGTCTTGTGCACGGTCGTTTTTTTTTACCTTTTCCTCAATCCTCATGCTGCGCCCCTCAGTGATCGTACATGAGTAATACATTTACGCTCATCATCATTTGCGTTGCCGTTGGTAGCCAATAGGAAAGTGATTTCGTCTTAGTCAACATAGACATGCATGCAAATAAAGACCTATCTATATTAGTATCACATGTGATACTATAAATAAATATATAGTAAACAATGTACACGCCATGCGGTCCCTCCGACCTCGGATGGGGGGCCCGGGGTTTTGCACAAGGGATATATAATAATTTATACGTGCTCTGATACTGTTAAATTTTGACATCGTGGCGTCGGAGTATTTGAACAGCATTTACAGGAAATTATTAGCAATATTAAGGCGACAGAGAGTACTATACCGCTCATAGGGTCTATGTCCCTCGATCAGGGTACTGCCGGAACGTGTACGGTACCCTGGGCACCCTAAATTAACGTCAGAATATAAAAAATTTTAGGGCACAATTTATTGGTCTAGGTCCAGTATACCGGAATGTACCCTGGTAACTATCTGATATGGTTAGGGTTAGGGTTAGGGTTCGACAGTCCCCTGGGGGACAGGCCCTCTCAGCAGTACTACTAGAGAGTTGTCAATGTCTAGACTAGAGTAGAGAGAGTAAATACATTTCCAGAAGGCGAGAGAAGTAACTATAGAGAGAATAAAGATTAGTAAGAAAAGGAAGAGGGATAGGAATCGTCACGTCCGTAATGTGATATGTCGATCTGCGTATGTGCCTACAATT